CATCTGACAGGTAACACCAGGGGACCAGAGTCCTCTGCTCATGCAGGCTCTTAGAGTCTCAAACTCCCAGGTTTGCATACCTTAAAAACTCCTGTTGGATTATAAAATCCAGGTCAATTTAACCCTCCCAGCAGGCAAAACCAATTACCTGCAAGATGCTCTACAATGCCAGTTTAGAGCTGAATAAAGAACTTTCTGTAGGTATGGAAGCCACAGCTCTGCTCATGCTGTGCTTTTATTTTATTTTTGTAAAGCTTTTATTGTCAAAAGAGGAATAGTGGAGAAAGGGTGGCTCCAGTGAGGCAAACATTACTCTATAAAACAACACAATAACACGTCTCTGGTATCTGCGATAAAACAGCCTATAAATGAGTGGGCCTCCCTGCACGTCTGCAGACTTTTTATCACACCGACTCTCTGCTGTGAGCCTTTGACGCAAGAACAATGCGTTAATAACATGTATATTACATGTTGCAGCAACAGACAGCTCATTTTATATTAGCTCTATTTATCCAGAGTGCCTGGAGAACATGAATGGCGTAACATCCAGCAACGGTCAGTTTTCACCGACAGATTGACCGACATGCCACCGGTCGTCTGCAGACGTACATTCCATTCTCTAAGGTGGATTTTACATCCTACCTTCCAACAAGCAACAAGGTTCTGCAGCCTTGATGACTTTTCAGGAGGAACAAGATGTCAGCCTGTGTATAGCCTTCTTTTGATAAGACCGCAGGATTGCTCACTCTCATGAAAAGGAACACTTTTACAACTCATAAGCTAAATAATCATTAATAATATGATTGAGTGACCAAATGTTATATGAGTACGAATGAAATGTTTTGATTAATCTGTGCTTAAATTACTGTGGTTGAAATGAAATTTTGATATTATGATCAGTAGTGTTGGTTTAACAATTGAATCACTATTTTCTGACAGCTCACACTCAGACATGTGACGATGACAAGGTTAAGCTAATATCCTGACACATTGTTTTCTGCTCCACAAATCAGAGCATCCTGTATCTGAAAGAAGGCGTGATGTTCTGAGGTTTGCTTGTTAACATCCAACATGGCACGCACCGGTTGGTCAAGAAATCATAATATGAGAATATTAAAAGAGAGCTCACTTGACGGTGAGTCAGTTCTAGAGAAGGCTACGGACAGGTCATCTGTAGCGAACCCTCTTTAACCCAGAGCAGTTTTGACAAGCGGTCAAAAACCCTGCTACATGCTGCCTACCGCTGACACAGCGAACGGTTCCTTCAGCTATTCAGAAACAGCTGTTCTGGATGCAAACGATTTCATCTATCTGTTGTGATCCGGGAGACGACTCTGGACCGACCTGGTCGTACTGCGGTCTTTTCTACGAACCTTGGTACCTTGGGGTCACCCGACCCCCCGGACATCTCGAAGCCAAAAGGGAGTCTCCTCAGGGGTACGTAGAACACAGTATGATTGTGTCTGATGCCGTTTTGATAGGAACCAACTTCATAGCTTAATGCAGACCAAATTTTTTCACACCCAGAACTCAGTTCTTCTAGATACAAGGTTCTGATGAACACACATCATTCAAAACCATACATCACATCCCATCCACTTAGATTCATCCAACGCAGTAGCCTTGGTTAACTTGGCTCCTTTTAATTTGTTTAGAAAATAAATTTCTTGCTTTTATAAACCTGACTCTGTCTGAATTGATACGAAGTGTGTTTGATCCCTGAAACAGCAAAGCATCCTAGAATCTTCTGATTAAACATTCAAAGACCAAGCAGGTTGATATTCTATATTTATATAGAAGATCACAGCTTATTGGTCATAAGTAAAGGTATATATTAAGCTTAAAAGCAACAACATTTACTACTCTACAATGGAAATCATTTAGAGCAGGAGTGTCCAAACAGAGCCGAGGAGCGGCGCTGGTCCAGTAGCTTTACGTTACATTTTCACTCCCTTTGTGACACACATCCACTCTCTAAACACGTCTGGGTTTATTTACACAACCTTAACTGGAGCGACCTTGTGATGATGCACGTAAATCTGCACGGATCAGCTGACCAGGAAGGATCAACTGTTAAACAAAGTCACTTCCCAGCAGCTGTTCGTTTCAGGCCTGACCTTTACACTCCTGAGTGGGTTTAATGATGAGAATCACCCACACAGCAAATTCTGGCCTTTAAGATAAAAAAAAAAAACAACAAGTGTGTGTGTGTGCAGCCACAGAATAAACTCCAGAGGATTCATAACTTCGATTTTAATCTTTTATCACCTTCTTTCTTTTCTTATAGCGAAAACTGAACGTATCTTGGTATTGTAATATTTATTTTATAATGTAAAAAAGATACGTATGTTTTGGACACCCGAGTGAAGAGAGGGGCGGAGCTGTCAACTGATCACCACCTGGTGGTGAGTTGGATCAGATGGCAAGGGAACATGCCGCGTAGACCTGGCAGACCCAAACGCATAGTGAGGGTCTGCTGGGAACGCCTGGCAGAAGAACCTGTCAAGACGGTCTTCAACTCCCACCTCCGGCAGAGCTTTGACCACGTCCCGAGAGCAGTGGGGGACATTGAGTCCGAGTGGGCCTTGTTCCACTCTGCGATTGTCGAGGCGGCTGTTGCTAGCTGTGGTCGTAAGGTGGCCGGTGCCAGTCGTGGTGGCAACCCCCGTACCCGCTGGTGGACACCAGAGGTTCGGGGAGCCGTCAGGCTGAAGAAGGAGGCCTACAGGGCGTGGCTGGTCTGTGGGTCTCCGGAGGCAGCAGACAGGTACCGGATAGCCAAGCGGGGTGCAGCAGTGGCAGTTGCCGAGGCAAAATCTCGGGCGTGGGAGGAGTTTGGTGAGGCCATGGAGAAAGACTATCGATCGGCTCCAAAGAGGTTCTGGCAAACTGTCCGGCGCCTCAGGAGAGGAAGGCAGCAACTCGCTCACACTGTTTACAGTGGGGATGGGGAGCTGCTGACGTCAACTGAGGCTATAGTTGGACGGTGGAAGGAATACTTTGAGGAGCTCCTCAATCCCACCAATGCGCATTCCGAGGAGGAACCAGAGCTGGGAGGCCTGGGGATGGACTGTCCGATCTCGGGGGCAGAAGTTGCTGAGGTAGTCAAACAACTACACAGCGGTGGAGCCCCGGGGGCGGATGAGGTTCGTCCTGGGTATCTCAAGGCTATGGATGTTGTAGGGCTGTCATGGTTGACACGTCTCTACAACATTGCGTGGTCATCGGGGGCAGTTCCTAGGGAGTGGCAGACCGGGGTGGTGGTCCCCATCTTTAAGAAGGGTGACCTGAGGGTGTGTTCCAACTATAGGGGGATCACACTCCTCAGCCTCCCTGGAAAGGTCTACTCCAAGGTACTGGAGAGGAGGGTCCGATCGATAGTTGAATCTCAGATAGAGGAGGAGCAATGTGGTTTTCGTCCTGGCCGTGGAACTGTGGACCAGCTCTATACCCTTGCAAGGGTGATGGAGGGGGCATGGGAGTTTGCCCAACCAATCCACATGTGCTTTGTGGATTTGGAGAAGGCTTAAGACCGTGTCCCCAGGGGCACCCTGTGGGGGACGCTCCAGGAGTATGGGATGGGTGGCTTTCTGTTAAGGGCCATTCAGTCCCTTTACCAGAGGAGCGTGAGTTTGGTCCGCATAGCCGGTAGTAAGTCGGACCTGTTCCCAGTGAGGGTTGGACTCCGCCAGGGCTGCCCTTTGTCACCGGTTCTGTTCATCACTTTTATGGACAGAATTTCTAGATGCAGCCGTGGTGTGGAGTGTGTCGAGTTTGGTGGCAGGAGAATCTCGTCTCTGCTTTTTGCGGATGATGTGGTCCTCCTAGCTTCATCCAGCTCTGACCTTCAGCTCTTGCTGGGTAGGTTCGCGGCCGAATGTGAAGCGGCTGGGATGAGGATCAGCACCTCCAAATCTGAGACCATGGTTCTCGACCGGAAAAGGGTGGCTTGCCACCTCCGGGTCGGGGGAGAGGTCCTACCTCAAGTGGAGGAGTTTAAGTATCTCGGGGTCTTGTTCACGAGTGAGGGTAGGAGGGATCGGGAGATCGACAAGCGGATTGGTTCGGCGTCTGCAGTGATGCGGACGCTGAGCCGATCTGTCGTGGGGAAGAGGGAGCTGAGCCAGAAAGCCAGGCTCTCGATTTACCGGTCGATCTACGTCCCAATCCTCACCTATGGTCATGAGCTTTGGGTAATGACCGAAAGAACGAGATCGCGGATACAAGCGGCCGAAATGAGTTTCCTCCGTAGGGTGGCCGGGCTCAGCCTTAGAGATAGGGTGAGGAGCTCGGACATTCGGGAGGGACTCGGAGTAGAACCGCTGCTCCTCCGGATCAAAAGGAGCCAGTTGAGGTGGTTTGGGCATCTGGTCAGGATGCCTCCTGGACGCCTCCCCGGGGAGGTGTTTCGGGCATGTCCTGCCGGCAGGAGGCCCCCGGGTCGACCCAGGACACGTTGGAGAGGTTACATCTCCAATCTGGTCCGGGAACGCCTTGGGGTCCTGCCGGAGGAGCTGGTGGACAAGGCCGGGGAGAGGACGGCCTGGAGCTCCCTAGTTTGGTTGCTGCCCCCGCGACCCGGACCCGGATAAGCGGAGGAAGACGAAGACGAATGTAAAAAAGAGAAAGTAACTAATTCTCTGCATACAAGTCCTTAAGCATGAAAATGTAACGACACATTTGGCATCGCATGAGTTTGATTGATTAAACCTCATTTGTTCTTTTACAGAAAACAGGTAAACTATCCAGAATGTTTGTGGCCGACTCCTAAGCAGGAAATCCAGAGCCAGATGTTAAACAGCGTCATTCATCCCAACCAAGAGAAACCCGATAAATCTGACGGTCGGCTAGAATCACCGCCGTTCTGCCGGGGCTTCGTTTGCATCTGCTGCCATCCAGATTAGGCCGTGAACTGTACTCTAGAACACACAAGCTGCTTTTCTTCCTCCTGCAGCCGTTCCCACACAACCCTCCACACACTGAGCTACCCAAACATAAAATACGATCCAGACTGTTTATTGTGGTACAAAGATCACATTAAAAACACAAAGACAAAATATGTACAACACAAAGGCACAAAACTACGTCTTTAGATGTGAAAAGGTTTAAAATTACACATAAAATCTATGAATAAAAAGAAAAGAACTCGGCAGCCTGAAGAAGGAATCTGATCCTGAGAGGACTCTCAGGAGCCTGAACCCACAGCAGCATCTACTGTGTGGTTTATTGTGTTTACGTGTGCATGTCAGCGTGGAAAAGCACAAAACCAAACGTTTTAACTGGCGGTAAACCAATTCTAGTAAAGAAAATCTAATTAAAACTCATCAGAAATGGTAAAAACATCAAACGGTCTTATAAACATTAAAATATAAAATCAGCTGCCCCTTTAGGCAAAACCTCCTCTTCATCATCTTCCGCTCTTTGAGCTCTTCTCCAGCACCCAGTCGATCACCTACAACAGAAGGCTTTAGTGTGAAAGCGTCTGTTTTAAAAGAGCAGAGCGGCGTGGCGGTTGTACCTGTTTAACGTTGCTGCTGGCCGCCTTCTTCATCTCATCATGAAGACCTCGAGATGTCTTCAGATCCTGGAATCCAACACAAAAACAACCTGAGCTCATTTAATCATCAAACCCAACCAAGTCAACAGCAAGTCGGAGACAACGGGTGACTGGTCTGTGGACAACAAACCAACAGGAGTCACCACTTACAGGGGTGTGTGTCACGTCCTTTTTGGACAATCTGATACAAATTTGAGTTGAAATAATGAGACGTTGTAATATTTGGGTGCTTTAAACTCTAGTTGATGGTGAAAACGGTGCTGGACTGGATCCGCTGTAGCTGGTTGTTACCTTACAGGATAAAACAACTAAAAGGTTAAAGAATAAACATGAAAAAAGGAAAAGTTGCAAAAACATCATCCAGGCTGGACATTACTTTACCATTATGTTAGTTCAATTTTATTTTTCCAGATATCTTTTAAAAACTCTGGTAACACTTTAGGGAACACAAATTAACCAGTAATTAGCTGCCAATTAATATGCATATTAGTGGACTAAGTCTGAATTAGTCATTACTACGCTATTATTAGGTGCTTATTACCAATGATGTAACAATATTAACAGGCCATAAATTAAGAGTTTTATCATAGTAAGCCATTCATAATAGTTTGTTAACTGAAAGTAAATGTTTTGTTGCTGATTAAAACACACACACACACACACACACACACACACACACACACACACAAACACTAATTAGATCAAAGCCATATGTGGCTTTTAAAGAAGTAATTCAAAGGGAACAGTTATTCTGCATTAATAACCAAAAATGTTATGTTCTGGTATCATGTACATAAACACCAAACTCCATGTTAATAGAGCCTAAACAACAATCAACTGTTGGTTTAATTTCATGCTTAAGGACTCGTATACAGAGAATTGGTTAGACACGTCATGGAGGGTTGGTCCGTAACTTCTAGTCACTGGCTTTACCGGTGACTGTTAGCAGCATAGTAAACTTTGCAGACATTATGCGAATGAGGCGAAAAGTGGGGGTGAAACATTAAATCAGATTGTTTTATATGAATGCATCATGACCAAGCTGCAAGAGAAAAATTACCTTTCTGTTCAACACACCGTCGCAAAATACTAACTCACGCTTACAATAACAAATCTTCCATGTGAAAATGATCACTTCCAGATTCATAATGTTCAAGTTAATCAGAAAAAGTACTGAGTTAATTATAGCTCAGCGAAATCCATCTAAATATGTATCAGCAGATCGGAGCTGCAGAGGAACCAAAAATCCACGCTCCAAACCAGAATCAAGCTTGTTCTAACTACAGTCATTTGGAATAGAATTCCATCTACACTGTTATGGCCACCAGCCTGGCCTCTAGTGGTGCAGGAGCCAGGATCAGCCAGCCCCAGTGATCAGCCAGACACCGCCCCTCCTCCTCCAGGCTGCTGATGAGCACAGCTGACCTGAATCCCTGTGATGACCCACACCTGGGAGAAAAGGCTGTGCCATCCAGCAGTGCAGGGGTTCTGCTGTCCTCCAGGCTTCGTTCTCTTTTAAAACCCTTCCATTTGATGACTTTTAACTCTAAGTTTGAGTTTTTACTAAAGAAATGGTAAAACCCGGAGACGATTCCCAGGGATCTTGGCAGACTGGTTTTAACAGTCTTGGTGAGGGTATTTACCTCTTTGTTAAAGGTTAACTTTGTCTGATACAATTTTATTGACTTTGGTTTTAAACACCTTCCGTTTTGGTCGAACTTTTAACAAAGTTTTAACCAGGTGTTTTAATGTTGGTATTTGGTCTCTTAATGTTAACCTTTCTGTTATGTTTTCATTTGGCATTATTTTTATTACGCCCTCCATCTGTTTGCTTGTTTTTACAACATTTTTATGACAATTAAACCCATTTTAAACCCACTATCATGTTTCTTACGTTACCCCCTCCTTCACATTTTAACAACTCCTGTCGGGGTTATCATAAAATCTTGTATCATAAAATCTAGTGATGCGTCGATATGACATTTTTGGGCCAATACTGATTAATATCACTCATATGGACGATAAACGATATGCCAATACCGATATGCTGACATTAATGCTTCTAAAAACTGCTGATTTTGTATCAAATGAAAATGATTAAAGCTGAATTTACATTATGTACACACACGACACACACAATCCTGCTCGAGAGGATTACAATCACTGTCACATGACTAAATCCCCCCCCCCGGGCCCTCTGAAACAGATAAACAAATGGAGGAGAGATTAAAAAAAATATCTGTGGTTAATATCTGCCCGGTTTTATTCATCGGACCGATATGGTAAAAAACATGACTAACATCTGCCGATACTGATGCTGATATATCGCGCATACCTAATAAAATCATTCACAAAACATGAAGTAAAAAAATTTTTTTTTTTAAACATGTCCTTTTCAAAATAAAAATAGAGAACAAGAGTCAAGATTTTCTAATCATTATTATTTTTTAACACAAACAAAAACCGTCTTGGACACAAATAAAAACAGTGAAGGGAGAAAGGACCAACCTTCAGGTAGAACTTGGAGATATCAAATAGTCTTTTGCTGCAGGCGTCAAAGCACTCGTGCTCAGCAGTGATCTCATGCTGCTTAAGTGTTTTCACTACAACCTCCTGCAGCATCTGAGGACATAAAAAAAACACACTTTTTTTACGAGTAGACCTGAAAATATATAAAATATCGTTCTGTTTATGCCCAAGCAGTCTTCACAGAGACTAATTTAATCTGGGTTTTCTCAGTAAAAAGGACTGAATGTCACAATTTTGTTCCTTCAGGGGAAACCCGTTCTTCCACGTGAATGCACGTCTTTACATTCACAGCGTGAGACTGCAGGTACAAACACAGGAATATTTCACTGGTAGGGACAGGAAAAACACATTCCTGAAATAAACACATCCGCCTTTAATCTTGTCACGGCAACGGCTCTGAGGAAACGCCATAAATTATTGTGAGAAATCATCAGTGCCATTCAGTCTCAGGAGGAGCAGAAAGGCAGCTTTTAATCTCTGTCCTGAATAAAGCGCTGTCGTTTTTCCAGAGTAGGGCCAACTGTTCGTCCCTTTACTCAGGATCGCATGATAAGCGTGTTTGCATAGTAATCGGAAATCAAAACGAGTCAAGGTCGGGATGTGGAAAGAGTGTGTGTGCTGTTTGAGGGACAGGAGGAGCCATGCAGAGACTGTGTGTGTGTGTGTGTGTGTGTGTGTGTGTGTGTGTGTGTGTGAACAATGGGAGAGGACGGAGCAGTAGGTGATATTAAAGCTAAACACTGGATATGCTGCAGCATTACAATGCAACCCACACACTCGCGATGATCATGAAGATAAAATATTTATTTCTTCACAACCAGCTGCTTGAGTCTCAGACAGGCGGAGCGCGTTTTATCGTGTGTCCACCTGCCACTCGGAGCCTGAAACAGGAAGCTGGAGGAATATTCAGCTCTTTATGGAGTTTAGTAGAATGAAAACATGTTTTACCACAAACGTCATGATTTTTTTTGTTTCTAAGAGATGAGCGGACTTCCCTTTTCACTGTTAAAAGACGCTTCACTTCTCATTATTTAGACATTCTAAGAAAGTTAAAGTGAAAGTCCCATTAGTTGTCACACACACACACAGGTGTGTGTGCAAAATTTGTTCTCCGCATTTGACCCATCCCCTGGGGGAGCGGTGAGCTGCAGACACAGCCGCGCTCGGGAACCATTTGGTGGTTTAACCCCCCCAATCCAACCCCGTAATGCTGAGTGTCAAGCAGGGAGGCATTGGGTCCCATTTTTTCAAAGTCTTTGGTATGACCCGACCAGGAATCGAACCCTGATGTCCCAGTCTCAGGGCGGACACTCTACCACTAGGAACCGATGATTAACGTATTTCAAACAGCAACCCACTGAACTTTTAGGATCTCTACGTCCTGGATGATGGAGAATCTACACCAACACAAACCAGCCATCAAAGAGTGGAGAACTTGTTTTCCCAGCTTCTTAAACCTGTTGAAGGTGAAAACCTTATAACCAGAATCCTAGCTTAGCCTCTGTGAGAAGGCCTTTATACCTCATTTTAAACGAGAAGACATTCATTTTTAACAGCATACAAGTAAAAGGTGCATTGTTGAGCATAACTGATGAAACATTATTATTATTTATAGAAGAACTGAAGCTCAGATTTGAAACGCTGCACCCACAAAGCATCCTGTAGACTGAAACTATAAAATAATGCTAACTAACCAGTTAAATGTGTTATAATCTTTGTTTCATTATTATTTAATTGTCACACACCTCAGTTGAACAAACTATTAAAAGAAAAAAAAAGAAAAAAAAACACGTCATGTGAGATCATGTAATATTGATAATCTTCTGCTTTTTGATAGTCATGTATCCATTTTAATTTACTAATGTAAATATTTTACAACAGAGACTACAGATTAAAACTAAGCCTCCATTAAATCTGGTGATACTGGACTGAAAGCGGTGCGCGCACGGCTCTGGAATCGGGGAGGCGAGTGACGCTGCAGCTTTGGTGTGAGAGACGCCGACTGTAGGAAGCAGCAGAACCTGTGAAAAAACACGCAGAAGGTTGAAAGCTGGTGTGTGGTGTTTTCACGTTGCCTTTTTGAAGTGTGTGGGCTATTGTAGCTGCAATACCATCCCTGAACTGTGTGGCGCTAATGAGTCAAATGTTTTTACACACTGGGGCTTTAACTTTAGACGATTAAAGTTGCTGTCCAGAGTTTTGCCCTTTCAGGAATCGTGTATGATTTTTCAGCAATCCACAAAAGTGATTGTCTTAATGTGTGCTGTGATATCATGTAGGCAACACATCTTATATTTTAGCTAAGCCCACCCCCCGTCCCATAGAGCTCCAAATAAACTGAGCGCCGGTCAGCACTAACCAAAAGCAGTAAAGCTGGTTCATGCTTGATGCGTCCGCGAGGTCCGCACAACCAAATTATGTAATTTTAGCAACCACGCCCCTCCGCACGGCCCAAAGGCTCCGGACTGTGCACCTAGGAAATTTTCTAACCATGCGGACGGTCCTGCACAGAAACACATGGCGGACTGGCAAGTGCTCGTAGTGGAGGAGATTCATAAGTACAGACATCTTTATGATTCGGCCCATAAAGATCACCATGATCAAAATATTGTTAATAATTTCGGTCACAGTCGGAAAAGAGGAGGATGCAGTGAAAAAATGTTGCAAACAACAGTGATTTCTACTTCTATGGTGTAGTGATGGATGCATGCCGTAGAGCCCCATGCCGCCCCCTACAGTCTGGGAGAATATTGGCTCACAGCGGAGACAAGCCGCAGAAGGTAGGAAGGAACCGTAAACGCTGCAAGTTCCGACGCGTGTCTCATTTCCACATGGAACTTATATACGTGAAGCTTAAAACACGCTTTAGACTAGCGCTTACATAAAGACGTCAATCACAGAGCGTGCTCGAGTGTTTAAGGACGTACCTTAGTTGATGCAGGTTGGCAACGTTTCCTATGGATAAGTCTTTAAAATATAAATACTTAAAAACACAACATAAAATGAACATAATACCTGTAAAACAAGTTGTTCGGTTTTGTCAACTTGAGGAGCGCGGTCAAGAACGAGAGGTTTTGCTTTCAGCTGAAAATAAGGAAAGTGTAAAATGTCTTGGTGTGATACACTTGTCAGCCACTAGATGGTGCCATCAGATTAAAGCAATAATCTGGACATCTTTAATATTTTAATAAATAAAAAAACAGACTTAAAAGTCGTTATTTGCTATTTTAGGCTTGAAATGGGTTATTGGCTTTGTCCCGCTGTTATTTAAAGCCATACTTTGCAACTTTTTCATATTTTTAAATAATTTTCTTGATATGTGATAAAAGTCATCATCACACACTGGTGAAATTCATCTCCGCATTTGACCCATCACCATGAAGGGGAGCGGTGAGCTGCAGCAGTGGCTGCGCTCGGGAACTATTTGGTGAATTAACCCCCCCAACCCAACCCCTTAAAGCATATTGTCAAGTAGGGAGGCATTGGGTCCCATTTTTAAAGTCTTTGGTATGACGCGAATGGGAATAAACCCTGATCTCCAAGTCCAAGGAAGGACACTCTACCACTAGGCCACTGAGCAGAGCCAAAGACCCTTTACAGGCTTAATGAAATGTCACTCAGACCCCCACTGCCTTCTGTGGCCAGAATACCGCATTTGCAACTTCCGAGTGCCAGTCGGATCTTTTGAACTTTGAGCTCACGTACCTGACGCTGCAGTCTGCTTCTAGAATGTTTCCTGCATGTTTTAAACTATGAACACAGCTGATTCGTTTGATTTAGTTATGAATCACTCCTGTAGACACTAATGAAGGCTGAGGAGACATTTCAGCAGTTAGATTAAAGTAGCTGTCCGTATTTTTTCTTTTATCTGACGGCACCATCTAGTGGTTGACAAGCGTATCACATCTTGACCTACTTTTATTTGCATTTTTAAGGCTGAAAGCAACATGAATGCGCTCCTCTAGCTAACAACACAGAGCTAAAACACATCGTTTTACAATTATTACATGTACGTTCTAGTTATGTTGTGTAAGCCTAAATTTGCAAGATGTTTGTAAGTTGGTAACAACAGAAATGGCTAAACTGAAACTATGGTTTGATTTGAATAGATCATTAAACTTAAACAAAACTAAAGTTATGTTGTTTGGAAAACATAAAATAAATACACATATGGCAATAACTATAAATGATATTATTATAGAAAGAGTGTATGAAAATAAATTTCTGGGTGTAATCCTCGATCACAAATTAGGTTGGAAACCTCACATAAAATATGTAAAAGGAAAGCACGAAGTATTGGGGTGTTGGGAAAAGCAAGACATTTTGTGAATCAAAAGGCATTGTATATACTGTTCTGCACACTGATAGTACCATACCTAACCTACTGTGTTGAAGTGTGGGGAAACACCTATAAAAACCACCCTATATGCACTTTGTATGTTACAAAAACAAGCCATATGGTTGGTCAGCCATGTGGGATGTAATGAACACACAAATAGCTTATTTATAAAATTAAAAACCTTAACGTTCAAAGATTTGATAGAATTGAGGACTGCATTATTTATGTACAAAGTAAATAAAAAATACTGCCTGAAAATATTCAAAATCTTGCAGACAGACAAGGTGGATATAAGTGGAGAAGGGAATTAAATTTGAAGCATTATGCTCGAACAAAATTGAAAAGTATGTGTGTTTCAATTAGTGGAGTTATTTTATGGAATAGTCTTGAGGAAAGAAAGTTTAAATATAGTGCAATTTAGGAAATTATATAAAGAATTCATTTTTTCCAGATATAGACAAGAGGATAATTGATTTGTATATGTACTGTAGTGATAATATATACTAACGTTGTTGTATTTGAGTTTTTGTACTTTTGAGTTGTATTGTGATGTTGTGTTCAGAAGTTGTTGTATTCTGATATTTTAATTTTTTTTAAGTATGAGTAACTTGATTTAGGGATAGGTGAAATAAGCTATGCTTCTTCCTATTCCTTTTCGAACAATGATGGTTGTGATAAGTTATCTAAGTTGGAAATTATTATGAGAATTGTTTTATTTGTTTGAAAGAAAAAAATAAAATAAAATAAAATACTTGTGCCTGATAAAAGTGGCCAACCTGCAACAACGAGGTACGTCTAAACGCTCGAGCATGCTCTGTGATTAACATCTGTACGTAAGCGTTAGTGCAATGCGGTTGTTTAGTGCTGATTGGTGCTCAGTTCATATGCATTGAGCAAAAAAATAAATAGATAAATAAAAGGAAGTATTTGCTACATTATTTCACAGTACATGATAGGACAATAATTTTTATGGATTTCTGAAAAATCATAAATAATTCTGGAAAGGGGAAAACTCCAGATAGCTGCTTTAATGCATTAAAAAGACAAAGTTTTGCTGTTGTCGTCGTCATCTTTCTCTGCTTATCTGGGTCTGGGTCGCGGGGGCAGCATCCCAACTAGGGAGCTCCAGACCGTCCTCTCCCCGGCCACCTCCACCAGCTCCTCTGGCAGGACCCCAAGGCGTTCCCGGACCAGATTGGAGATGAAACCTTTCCAGCGTGTCCTGGGTCGACCGTGGGGCCTCCTGCCGGCAGGACATGCCCGAAACACCTCCCCAGGGAGGCGTCCAGGAGGCATCCTGACTAGATGCCCAATCCACCTCAACTGACTCCTTTCGATCCGGAGGAGCAGCGGTTCTACTCCGAGTCCCTCCCGAATGTCCGAGCTCCTCAACCTATCTCTAAGGCTGAGCCCGGCCACCCTACGGAGGAAAATCATTTCGGCCGCTTGTATTCGCGATCTCGTTCTTTCGGTCATTACCCAAAGCTCATGACCATAGGTAAGGATTGGGACGTAGATCGACCGGTAAATCAAGAGCCTGGCTTTCTGGCTCAGCTCCCTCTTTACCACGACAGATTGGCTCAGCATCCGCATCACTGCAGACGCCGAACCAATCCGCCTGTCAATCTCCCTATCCCCCCTACCCTCACTCGTGAACAAGACCCCGAGATACTTAAACCCTTCCACTTGAGGTAGGACTTCTCCCCCGACCTGGAGTTGGCAAGCCACCCTTTTCCGGTCGACAACCATGGTCTCAGATTTGGAGGTACTGATCCTCATCCCAGCTGCTTCACACTCGGCTGCGAACCTACCCAGCAAGAGTTGAAGGTCAGAGCTGGATGAAGCTAGGAGGACCACATCATCCGCAAAAAGCAGAGACAAGATTCTCCTGCCACCAAACTCGACACACACCACACCACGGCTGCGCCTAGAAATTCTGTCCATAAAGGTAATGAACAGAACCGGTGACAAAGAGTAGCCCTGGCGGAGTCCAACCCTCACAGGGAACAGGTCCGACTTACTAGCGGCGATGCGGACCAAACTCATGCTCCTCTGGTAAAGGGACTGAATGGCCCTTAACAGAAAGCCACCCACCTCATACTCCTGGAGCGTCCCCCACAGGGTGCCCCTGGGGACTCGGTCATAAGCCTTCTCCAAATCCACAAAACACATGTGGATTGGTTGGGCAAACTCCCATGCCCCCTCCATCACCCTTGCAAGGGTATAGAGCTGGTCCACAGTCCCACAGCCAGGACGAAAACCACATTGCTGCTCCTCAATCTGAGATTCAACTATCGATCGGACCCTCCTCTCCAGTACCTTGGAGTAGACCTTTCCAGGGAGGCTGAGGAGTGTGATCCCCTTACAGTTGGAACACCCCCTCAGGTCACCCTTCTTAAAGATGGGGACCACCACCCCGGTCTGCCACTCCACATTAACTATCCCCGATGACCACGCAATGTTGCAGAGACATGTCAACCATGACAGCCCTACCACATCCATAGCCTTGAGATACCCAGGACGAATCTCATCCGCCCCCGGGGCTCCGCCGCCGTGCAAATGTTTGACTACCTCAGCAACTTCTGCCCCCGATATTGGACAGTCCATCCCCAGGTCTCCCGGCTCTGGTTCCTCCTCGGAATGCGCGTAGGTGGGATTGAGGAGCTCCTCTAAGTATTCCTTCCACCGTTCGACTATAGCCCCAGTTGACGTCAGAAGCTCCCAGTCCCCACTGTAAACAGTGTGAGCGAGTTGCTGCCTTCCTCTCCTGAGGCGCTGGACAGTTTGCCAGAACCTCTTTGGCGCCGATTGATAGTCTTTCTCCATGGCCTCACCAAACTCCTCCCACGCCCGAGATTTTGCCTCGGCAACTGCCACAGCTGCACCCCGCTTGGCTATCTGGTACCTGTCTGCTGTCTCCGGAGACCCACAGACCAGCCACGCCCTGTAGGCCTCCTTCTTCAGCCTGACAGCTCCCTGAACCTCTGGTGTCTACCAGCGGGTACGGGGGTTGCCACCACAACTGGCACCGGCCACCTTGCGACCACAGCTAGCAACAGCCGCCTCAACAATCGCAAAGTGGAACAAGGCCCACTCGGAGTCAATGTCCCCCACTGCTCTCGGGACGCGGTCAAAGCTCTGTCGGAGGTGGGAGTTGAAGACTGTCTTGACAGGTTCTTCTGCCAAGCATTCCCAGCAGACGCTCACTATGCGTTTGGGTCTGCCAGGTCTACGCGGTTTCTTCCCCTGCCATCTGATCCAACTCACCACCAGGTGGTGAACAGTTGACAGCTCCACTCCTCTCTTCACTCGGGTGTCCCAAACATACAGCCGCAGGTCAGATGATACGACTACAAAGTCTATCATCGACCTGCGACCTAGGCTGCCCTGGTACCAAGTGTACCGATGGGCATCCTTATGTTCGAACACGGTGTTTGTTATGGCCAAACTGCGGCTTGCACAGAAGTCCAATAACGAAACACCACTCGAGTTCAGATCAGGCGGGCCGTTCCTCCCAATCACACCCCTCCAGGTCAAGCTGTCATTGCCCACGTGAGCATTGAAGTCCCCCAACAGGACAATGAAGTCCCCTGATGAAGCACTATCTAGCACTCATCCCAGGGACTCCAGAAAGGGTGGGTACTCTGAACTGATATTTGGCCCATAGGCACAAACAACTGTCAGGACCCGTTCCCCGACCCGAAGGCACAGGGAAGCTACCCTCTCGTCCCCCGGGGTGAACCCCAACACACAGGCAGAGTCTTGGGGCTAACAAAAAGCCAACCCCAGCCCTCCGCCTCTCACCCGGAGCAACTCCAGCAAAGGAGAGTGTCCACCCCCTCTCAAGGACTTGGGTTCCAGTGCCAAAGCTATGTGTCGAGGTGAGTCCGACTATATCTAGCCGGTACCGCTCAACCTCTGCCACAAGCTCCTGCTCCTTTCCCGCCAGCGAGGTGACCTTCCATGTCCCAAAAACCAGTTTCCGTGTCCGGGGATCAGACCGCCAAGGCTCCCGCCTTGGTCTACCACCCGATCTACACTGCACCGGACCCTTCATGTTCCTCCTGCGGGTGGTGGGTCCACAGTTGGATGAGCCCATGTATCTGGTTCGGGCTGGGCCCGGCCGGGCCCTATGGGTGAGAGCCCGGCCACCAGGCGCTCGCTCACGGGCCCCAACCCCAGACCTGGCTCCAGGGTGGGACCCCGGTAACGCTCCGGGCCGGGTACTCAGACTCTTTGAATTTAAATTCATGAAGGTCCTTTGAGTTTTGCTTTTGGTTCTACTAAATGGACACTAGGGGGTGGTAAAGCAAGCTTAACTGCAAAGTGCGCGGCTTTAAGGAGACTTAAATAAGACAACTGTTTTCAGGTTAAAAAAGATCTTGATCACAAACCTGTACAAACTGATGCAAAAGCTTCTACTTTTGAGAACATTTAGTTTAATTGAACTAAATTTTTGTGATTGGTTGCAGATTTGCTGACTGATAATGATGTTTACTCAGTTTCTGATTTAATCCTCACATTTGCTTCTGTGAACACATATAAACAGACGTCAGACCAATCTGTGAAACGCACTGTAATCTGAGACATCAAACACAACAATATGGCCTCATTTGTTTATTATTAGTATCTTAAATATAACGTTATCACATGCCAATTTCTTTCTTTGTGTGTTATTTTAGTAGCACTGCGTTTCTGACGAGCTTACAACACGGGCTCTTCAGCCTTCCGGTGGGTGAAGCAGACTACTTGATAGCTACAGTAAACAGAGAATTATTGAATTTATCTTTAAAGAACTAATGAATCTCTCACCCTGTTGTGTTTCTGGGAGCGTGACTCTTTGGCAGGTTTGACCTCGATGCGTCCTTGAGCCGTTTTCTGCTGTTGACATCTGTCAGGACATGAACCTAAAGAGTCAGGATGGAGAGAACATTTAGATATCGCAGCTACATCAGCACATGTCCAAAGGCAAAAGAACGATAAAATAAAAACTGATTGTTTCATAAAAGTGGTGCCAAGCTAAAGAAAGAGCCGTTTAAAGCCTGTAAGGTCGACCCACACATTGTGACTCAGACCACTGATTAGAGGTGTCCAGCCTCACCGATTCTCTCTTTAGCTTTTATTGCATTGTTCACTTTTCTGGCTCTATTCAGTCATCAGCATACAGCACTGTGCAACTCTTGAGTCATCCCTCCTTTTATTATACTTTACTTCAATGATTCAAGTGTTCCTAAATCTTTTACAGAGGTTTTGATCAATTGTTCATTATACTTTAGCTACTTTTCCTTCAGTTTTCAGTTTAATATCCAACATGATGGATGCTTTTATTTTGTTAACTAGTGTCATGTGTGTTTAGGCTGCCGGTATCAACCTGCTGTTTGTATTTCACCTGATGTAGAAGCTAAAACCCAGGCTTGGTGATGAGGGACTTAAGGCCCTGGCTCGACTCTACGCCTGATTTTAGGTAAACAGGATTGTGTCCCATCTCTTTCAACAAAATACGATCAAACCTATTACTGTGTTGGCACTGATAAGCCTCGGAGCTTTTAAGATAGTTTATTTCCTTGCTGTCAAACGCGACAGAGTTCAGGAAGTAGATAAAAATGCTACTGTATGTTAGCTTTGGCCAGATTTTAAGATTATCCTCCACCCCTCTGGTGCAGTGGGAAGAGGGAGTGTAACGGTGTCCCGTTGGAGCTGTGAGCTGATGTTTCCATGTTTTCCGTCTCTAAAAGCCCATAAAAAGAGGATTAGTGCGACTGGAAGTCAGTCGCATTTTTCACACAGAGGCTCACAGGTTATAGGAATGAGGTGGATAGATGTTTTTGCACAGAAAACATCAAATCTAATCGTGTCAAGCCTAAAAGAAACTCTAACAAAATAAAAATAAATGTAAATTTGATGTGTTGAATTCATCTCTGCAGATCCTCCTTTAACTTATTTGGCATTGTCCAAAAATTAAAAGCAAACCTAAATGATGAAGACCAATTTCATTGTTAAACAATGTCGAAGCTGCTTCCACTGAAGCACTTTTTCACCTGACGTCCATCTGGTGGCTGAAGCGGTCCTGATGGAGGACGATGTGGACTGGGATCTGATTGGCTGTTGTCGTAGAGACCTGAAGTCTGTGTGTGGACCACTGTTGCAGCTGCTCTGAGAACACAGAGAGTCATTGCTCTCCGACTTCACCAACCTTGGTTAGACACACACACACGCACACTGAAGGGACGCTCTCGCTCTCTCTGCCCATCAACATCACCAACTCCCGACCAGGAGCTAACTCTGCCATCCTACCTCTTACGAGGAAAACCTCCAACTATGTCTAACTCCCGAGACTTGCGTTTGAGGTGTGCAACATCATTGTTCTGAAGAGTCTCTCCATCGGGCACACTTCCTGGTTCTGACATCACCGCAGGCGAGGGGGCAGGGCTGGGGGCAAAGGTGAGGGCACAGGGCTCTTTGGAGCAGGTGGTCTGTGTTTCATAGCGAATCAGACGAGACTGGAGCCGTGCAAATGCCTGGTCTCGGTCGAGGGAACTCTGGGTGTCCAGGCAAAACCTGTGGCAACAAACTCACGTGAGAAAAGTAAAGAATAAAAAGGAAACATCACATTCAGTGAGGTATAATTACTCTATGCCGTGGTAGTGGGAGGCTGAAGCCATTCTGAAGGACATCTGGCTGACTCTCCTGGGTGAGAGGTCAGGTGACAGCTGAAACAGGTTAGCACTAGGGAGAAGAAGAAATAAAGAAGACATGAAAACAAAATAAAGAGAGTAATAAGGGGGAAATCATCCTCTCTTTTAAACAAAACAGTACAATTAAACACAAACGCCCAGAGATTACTGCTCTGCTCTCGTACTTAAAATCAAAATTCATTTGAAAGGATATTTTCTGCAGCAGTGAAGGTGGATCTAAAAGCTTGGGATTGTGTTTGCTCTGGAAATTTTTGTATGAGAAACGAGCGAGATGGGATCTGCAATATGATGACTGCTCCTACCCTCTGTTGATAGCCAGCGGTTGTAAATCTCCGGTGGGAACGCCATCGGAGCTGAAGTGTTTTAGAAGTTCTTTGGCATCGAGTAAAGCTGTGGAGCCCCTCTGGCTGTCTTTGGGACCCAACAGACTTTCACTGGAGCCGGGACCTAGCAGCCCTAACCTGAAACAGACACATACGATATGAAATGTAATAAATATTCATGCAAAAGAATAATAAAACTAAGCAAAACAAAGACAGGATGTTTTAAGAATTAAAAGCCCACTCTGGGCAAAACTGGCTCAACAAATGATCCTGTTTACTTTCTCCTTTGTCTTCTCCTCTGCAGGTTTTCGATGTTGTGCAGGACGCTTCGCTCAGGCCAATCAGATGGCTGCAGAGAAAGCGTCTGAAACCCTGGAATAAACAAAAAAGAAAGTTGTTGACTACTGCAGAGTCAGAAAAGTTACTTTCTAAAGGAAAAACTCACAAATCCCCTTCTATTTGATTTATAGTGTTGATGAGCAGCTGGAAAACTGACCTACTGTCTTCATCCTGACTCTAATCTGAACAGCTGATGTTTAGTTGTGCATTTAGGGATTACGGTAATTTAGACAAAATTCCATAACCTCGGATTATTTCCTGTAACGTTTGTCTGAGCTCAGCCTAAAATGAAAAACACACAGTAGAGAAAAAAGCAGGAGAAATGTATCATTTTCTAACGCTGATGGACGAGCATTCACAGCTTCTTACCAGAAACGCTGCTGCCGCCGGAAGGAACGAACACGACATTAAACATGTGGCCTTAAATACCGGACGACAAGAAGACCTGTCGTAGATCATAAATGCAGTTTCCAGCAGCAAAAGTAGTTAAGTTACTGCACAGCTTCCCACTTTCTGTAGGCGGTGTAATATAAGCACCAGGAGCCGCGAGATGGATTACAGGAGTTATCTGAACTTTCACTTGACACAGGTCGGCACGCTCAACATTTGGCAGGAAGCGACTGAACGAATGCATCCAAAATTCCCCCAACTCTGCAGTTTTCTCATGTTTGGACAGGAGGATTGCATGTTTACATCAAGTAGGATGGAAATCAGAGTCTGGCTGCAGCAGAATTACAGATGAGATGGACCGCGCACCCAAGGATGAAAAATTCCTCGCATGAGAGGACTGACGCTTCCTGCCAAAGCTTTGTCATTCCCACACAAAGTCACAGTGCTCGGAGGAACGTCGACACGGAAATCCAAAACACACAACTGACAGACACAAAAAGATGGAGGGACTTTAGGAAAATAAGCTGGCTTGTGCATGTGTTAAACATCTCACCTGTCCCGTTGTTTGATTCAAGTTTTTAGTGAGACATCTAGAACTAAATCTGTGTAAATATGATGATGGACAACAATACAGACCCTGCTGCAGGCAGCTGGATAAACTAGTCTAGTGGTCGTTTTATTCATGAAAATCTTAAGTTTACGACAGTCGCTAAAAAACATAACGATGGACACAAATTTGCAGGCAATCCAAACAAAATGTCACTCATGACATAAAACCCGCCCAACGTTCTGTCCCATCAGCCCTAAAGCTGCATTTCTAAGACTAGAGCTCCCCTCTTTAAGCAGACTGAGCCGAGGCGGCAGGCCGTAATTTCTTTCTCCACCAACGATTTATTTTTAAATTACCAGATGTTATTGTTTACTAAAATTGTGACCGTATGAGGGCAGAAGCAGTGAGATGTGTGTTTCTTGGGTTGGTTCATACCGGGGTGTTTTGGAGGCTGCTCATTTGTCAGACAGGTGACAGCAGCAGGAAGAGCAGAGTCAGCAGTCGTTAGATACCGCTCCCTGGTAAGATTCAGAATGGCCTTCAAGTCACAGATGTCCACTGGAGTTTCTTCTCTCTGTCCTAGTTTCACACACACAAGCACGCACACACGCACACACACACACACACACACACACACACACACACACAGGGGGATGCACAGCGTTGAATGTCCATCGCCTCGAACACATGTAGAGATTTCTTTAAATTTGCGTCCTCTTAAAAGTTAGAAAAAAAAAATACAATCAATAAATTACCAATAGTGGACGTAAAAACAAGGAGTTGGAGTACCCGGCCCGGAGGAGGATTACCAGGGTCCCACCCTGGCGCCAGACCTGGGGTTGGGGCCCATGAGCGAGCGCCTGTTGGCCGGGCTTTCACCCATGGGGCCTGGCCGGGCCCAGCCCGAACCGGATACATGGACTCATCCAACTGTGGACCCACCACCCGCAGGAGGAACATGAAGGGTCCGGTGCAGTGTGGATCGGGTGGCAGACCAAGGCGGGAGCCTTGGCGGTCCGATCCCCGGACAAGGAAACTGGTTTTTGGGACATGGAAGGTCACCTCGCTGGTGGGGAAGGAGCAGGAGCTTGTGGCAGAGGTTGAGCGGTACCGGCTAGATATAGTCGGACTCACCTCGACACATAGCTTTGGCACTGGAACCCAAGTCCTTGAGAGGGGTTGGACACTCTCCTTTGCTGGAGTTGCTCTGGGTGAGAGGCGGAGGGCTGGGGTTGGCTTTTTGTTAGCCCCAAGACTCTCTGCCTGTGTGTTGGGGTTTACCTCGGGGGACAAGAGGGTAGCTTCCCTGCGCCTTCGGGTCAGGGAACGGGTCCTGACTGTTGTTTGTGCTTATGGGTTAAATATCAGTTCAGATTACCCACCCTTTCTGGAGTCCCTGGACGAAAGTGTTCCATCAGGGCCTCCATTGTCCTGCTGGGGGACTTCAATGCTAACGTGGGCAATGACAGCATGACCTGGAGGGGTGTGATTGGGAGGAACGGCCCGCCTGATCTGAACTCGAGTGGTGTTTCATTATTGGACTTCTGTGCAAGCCGCAGTTTGGCTATAACGAACACCATGTTCGAACATAGAAGGTTGATGCTCCATGGCCATGTGCCATTTTGAAATACGGTGGTACTTGGTACCAGGTAGGGCTGGGCGATATGGCAAAAATAGAATATCACGATTTTTCCAATATTTTATCACGATTTCGATTTTATCACGATTTTTTTATCCATGAATAGCATAACTTCAATTGCGTATTAAAGAAGAGAAACATTGAATAAATAGACATTTATTCATATTAGGGATAATCAGCACAGTGCTAACACACTTATATTTTAAACTCACACCAGAGATGATAAAAGCCCTGAGAGAAATAATTACAAAAATCAGTTTTTCTCGTTTTTCAAGTAACTTAACATAAATTAAAATCGTAAACATATTTAAAGTGCAAACATGTCAATTGCAAACGTATTGTGCAAACATTAACTTGTTCAAAATACTATGTAGCTCCCAGTTGCTCATGTAGTGGATAGTTAAGCTCAAATACGGCTCTGATGTGCGGCTGGACCAGAGATCGCTTGTGGTAGCAAATAACTGCGCATTCTGAATATTTTCTGCAACAAGTCTCTAAATAAAGTAAAAATTTCCAGTGCTGAGTGGAGACAACCCATAGAAGCACTGATTTAATCTCATTTCAGAGAAAAATAGAACAGGTTAGATGCACCTAATAAATAAAATTACTAACAAACTCAGGAATCTTTCTTTGCTTCACTGTTCTGGTGCTGAAAATATCACTAATGCGGATCAAAGGAGATACACAGATGAATGCACCTCTTATTATTTCGAGACTACATTTACTGCAGCTGGCAGAGATTGTTTCTATTGATACACGGAGTTTACAGAATCATTTTAAATGTTAATAGGGGAAGACTGCAGGAGGGAGCGGTAAAATACAGAGGTCCCTAACAAAAACAAGAAACTTTACGAGTCTGATGAAACCCGCTGGTTTTCCATCAGGCAGTCACGGGGCAGCTCCATCGACCCAGTGACCGAGCTCAGTCGGTACCGACACCGGCTCGGCAGAGGGTGAACGAGCCGAGGCGACGTCGTGCTCTGCTTAAGAAGCTGTGTTATTTTCCTGCTTCAGAAGAAGCGTCCAACGTGTTTTTACGCTTTCTCCGAGACATGTCACGTCACTAAGTTGTTAGCGCCGCGCGCTAAGGAAACCCTGCGTTCCTCTTCGGAACGAAAACCTCGTTGTCGCTCAGCCGCGCCGAAGCCATGTTTGTTCACACACAGGTGAAGGTGAAAACAAGCGGGGCACTAATATATTACTATGACTCACTCTGATTGGTTAAGGGTCAAACAAAGGCGTGTCATTCGCCTGGGGTAAGTTCCCTTTTCATTCAGAGGCAGAAATTCAACAGCAGCTGTGAATCGTGATAAAACGGTCTCTCAAAAATGACAGACCGTCAGATGTGTAGATCGTAAAATGGTCTAAAATCGTCATATCGCCCAGCCCTAGTACCAGGGCAGCCTAGGTCGCAGGTTGATGATAGACTTTGTAGTCGTATCATCTGACCTGCGACTGTATGTTTGGGACACCTGAGTGAAGAGAGGAGTGGCGCTGTCAACTGATCACCAACTGGTGGCGAGTTGGATCAGATGGCAGGGGAAGATGCCGCGTAGACCTGGCACACCCAAACGCATAGTGAGGGTCTGCTGGGAACGCTTGGCAGAAGAACCTGTCAAGACACAAAAATAGGTTTTTATCATCTAAAGAACATCGCCAGAGTCCGCCCCATTCTCTCTCGGGCCAATACGGAGATGCTGATGCATGCTTTTATCGCCAGTAGGATAGACTACTGCAATGCCCTGCTTTCTGGTCTTCCTAAAAAGAGCATCTCAGGCTTACAACTTCTACAAAATTCGGCAGCACGTGTCCTGATGAAGACCAGGAGGCGGGAGCACATGACACCGGTTTTGGAATCATTGCATTGGCTCCCCGTTTGTTTCAGGATCCATATTAAGGTTCTTCTAATGGTTTTTAAGTGCCTTAAAGGTCTTGGGCCTTTTTATCTCTCAGAACTGTTTTCACCATATGAACCCTCATGGCCTCTGCGCTCCTCTGGCAGGCGTCTCCTGGTCAGCCCTAAAGTTAGGACACAAACTCACGGCGAGGCGTCCTTCCAGTGTTATGGCCCTCGCCTCTGGAACGAGCTGCCAGAGGACCTCAGGGCTGCAGAGAACATTCATGTTTTTAAGTCCAGGCTCAAGACCCATCTTTTTAGGTTAGCTTTTATCTAAATATTTACTACAGCTTTATTTCTCATTTTACATGATTATATTTTATTGCTTGCTTTGCATGTTTTATAGGATTATATTCTAGCACCATTTTATTATTTAATATTATTATTTTACTCTCTATATGATTTTATTAATTACTTATTTTTTAACTTTTGTCCCTTATTTAGCTCTTTTATTATAGTTTTACTCATTTAAATCCAGTGTTTCCTCTGTTGGGGCCCTCTGCCCCGGGAGCGGTGGTTGACTGTAGCTTCCTGGGCGTTCTATAGGTGGGGGTCTATGCTCCCCCTCCACTAAGCGCCCTGACTTAGTATGGAAGACCTGATGCTGCCGGGGCAGACGGCTCCTCTGATGGCGTTTCCTTGCCTTACCTTACTTGACTCATCTGGACTCAGCCTAATATAATTTTACTTGTGTGTGTGTGTGTGTGTGTGTGTGTGTGTGTGTGTGTGTGTGTGTGTGTGTGTGTGTGTGTGTGTGTGTGTGTGTGTGTGTGTGTGTGTGTGTGTGCGCGCGCTTGCATATGCCTGTTAATGTTTTAAACCTGTTATGGGAATCTGGGGTCATTTTGTAAAGCACTTTGAGTAGCACTCTGTTTGAAAAGCGCTTTATAAATAAATCTGATTGATTGATTGAATCTGATTGAAGACGGCCTTCAACTCCCACCTCCGGCAGAGCTTTGACCGCGTCCCGAGAGCAGTGGCGGACATCGACTCAGAGTGGGCCTTGTTCCACTCTGAGATTGTTGAGGTGGCTGTTGCTGGCTGTGGTCGCAACGTGGCCAGTGCCAGTTGTGGTGGCAACCCCCGTACCCGCTGGTGGACACCAGAGGTTCGGGGAGCCGTCAGGCTTAAGAAGGAGGCCTACAGGGCGTGGCTGGTCTGTGGGTCTCCGGAGGCAGCAGACGGGTACCGGATAGCCAAGCGGGGTGCAGCAGAGGCAGTTGCCGAGGTAAAATCTTGGGCGTGGGAGGAGTTTGGTGAGGCCATGGAGAAAGACTATCGATCGGCGCCAAAGAAGTTCTGGCAAACTGTCCAGCGCCTCAGGAGAGGGAGGTAGCAACTCGCTCACACTGTTTACAGTGGAGATGGGGAGCTGCTGACGACAACTGGGGCTATAGTCGGGCGGTGGAAGGAATACTTAAGAGGAGCTCCTCAATCCCACCTACGCGCCTTCCGAGGAGGAGCCAGAGCCGGGAGACCTGGAGATTGACTGTCCAATCTCTGGGGCAGAAGTTGCTGAGGTAGTCAAACAACTACACAGCTGCGGAGCCCTGGGGGTGGATGAGATTCGTCCTGGGTATCTCAAGGCTATGGATGTGGTAGGGCTGTCGTGGTTGACATGTCTCTGCAACACTGCGTGGTCATCGGGGGCAGTTCCTGTGGAGTGGCAGACCAGGGTGGTGGTCCCCATCTTTAAGATGGGTGACTGGAGGGCGTGTTCCAACTATAGGGGGATCACACTCCTCAGCCTCCCTGGAAAGGTCTACTCCAAGGTACTGGAGAAGAGGGTCCGATTGATAGTTGAATCTCAGATTGAGGAGGAGCAATGTGGTTTTCGTACTGGCTGTGGAACTGTGGACCAGCTCTATACCCTTGCAAGGGTGACGGAGGGGGCATGGGAGTTTGCCCAACCAATCCACGTGTTTTGTGGATTTGGAGAAGGCTCATGACCGAGTCCCCAGGGGCACCCTGTGGGGGATGCTCCAGGAGTATGGGGTGGGTGGCCTTTTGTTAAGGGCCATTCAGTCCCTCTACCAGAGGAGC